CCTTTGTGTCACTATGTCACTATGCCATGTCAGCTCACAAGGCCCCTGCCTGTGTACTAACTATCCATTTTCTCCTCCCCCCACGTTGGTAAACTCAGCAGGGACAGGGCTTGTTCCCCTCCAGATGTGCGAGCAGAGCGTCAGGTTGTCTGGTGAACAGATGACTCCCCTCTCCGCACAGGGGTCCCTGGGGGCTAACTGCCTCGTCCTTGAGTCACCTTTGTGCTGGGAAGCAAGGGAGCAGCCATCCTGCAGCAGAACCTGGGCCCCTCCCTGCTGCATAATTTGTTTTTAGAGCTTGGGTTTAAAAATCATCTGGCCGTCCCTCCTGCGCGTTCCCTCAGCCACTAAGTACAGAGCCAAGGCCGGACCTGCGTCTCCTGGAGGCCTGTCCTGCGCTCCCTGCCAAGCAGCCAGGCCTCCACGCCCTGGACTTCCGTGCCCCGGCTCTCCGCCTGCTTTCAGAGCAGCTCCTGGAGACACAGAGCGGCCCTCAGTGACATCGAGGAGCTGAAGGAGGGGCTGTGCTGAGCACACCAGAGATGCAGGGTGCCGAAGGAGCTGTTGCTGTGACCCTGAGCAGTGGACTCTGGGGTCCCTCCCCGCTTCTCGCTCTCCACAGCCTGCCTGCCATGCAGGCAGGTCCTCGGGGATGAAGGGGGAGGGGCATCCCAGCCCCTCGCAGGCCACGCACCCCCTCTTTGTGCAGGGGCCTTGGCTGGCCACCTGTTGTTAATCTAGCCCTGGTAATCCATTCTGTACTGTGTCAGCAGTTCAAAAGGGCACTGTTAGTATTTTTTGCCGACTTCAATTAACGTGAGATTTCAGAGGCCCCTCTGATCACATTTCATCTGTCACAAGTCAGGAACAAAACAGACAGGGTCCAGTTGAGAGGAGGAAGGAGAAGGAGTTTATTGCAAACAACAACCAGACAGACAGTTTGGACCACGCCCAGCGAGGGGTGCTCTGGGAGCGTCCAGCTGCTTCTGCTCTCCATTTGGCCCCACGCCTGGGCCCCTAGGTCCCCTTCTCATCAATACGCCCCCCTCCCCAAAAAGATGTAAGTGCAATAACTTACTTTCAAAGGCAAGAACGTTTTCTTTTAATACTTTGCTATAATGTAGTTACATGGTGGTATAGGCAGTAAAACTTGACGGAACCGACCTCAATTTTTTTTATACATTTTTCTGAATTTTTAATGTATTTTTAATATATATTTTTAATATTCCACCCCAGGCCATTAAGCTAAAGGAAAAGTTGCGTTTATACAGGGTTAAAATATCTTACAATGAGAACAGTCTACTGGTTGAGGTTCGTGTTCCTTCTGGCACTCAGCTGTCTGTTCAACCACTGCACACCCAAACGGATTATTAGACTCTGAAAACTGTCCTTCAAAATCAGTAGTATAAAGATCTAGCTCTATGTACGTAAGTGAGTGGGGGAGGGAGAGGGCAAGATTAGGTCACGTCGTGTTCACTGGAATAGCTTTCCTGCCGACAGCATCCTTAAGGAAGTGTCTGTGTGACTTCGAGAAGCAGGGTTTTGCTGTCTTCTCATTTTTCTCTTTTATGGTCATGGATTATTATCCTGGGAGCCAGTTTGCCAGCCATCCTCCCCCAGCTGGACCAGTTTGCCTTGGCACCTGAGAGTCAGGGCCACCAAGGAGACCAGAAGGCCCAGAGTGTCTTGCAAGATGGTCTCCCCACAACCCAGCCCTGAGTGAGAATGGCGGCTGCGAAGGGAGACCATGGGTTTTCATGGGAAAGCTCCTCTTGTCCACCCAGCCGAAATGAGGGCAGAGGGGACACGGGGGCTGGGCCCAGTGCGGCCACAGCAATGTGTGCTGGGGACCCACCTCCCGGTGCTGCCCCCCACCCCCTTGCAGTGTCTTTGAGCTAACCTGGCCTCCGTGCTTTCCCAAAGCTGGAGGCATGGTGGTGAGAGCCGAGGATCAAGTATAGCTGAAAGGATTCAAGGAAACTAACAAAGCCCGTGTCCTCCAAGTGCCACTGAAGGCTTGGAGACCAGCCTCTCCGGGCGCCCCCAGAGCCCCCTCCTCCCATGCCCCGGGAGTAGTGATGGCACCTGAGGGTGGTTAGCAGCACCTTAGTGTCAAGCCTTGGCCTCCGAGACTTATTCCCGGCAGGGATCAGAGGCTCTCAGTGTTGATCTGCCAGCTACCCATCTCTCCAGTTTTGCATCCCCATCTCTGCTGAGATCTTAGGCAAAGAGCCAAGGGCCATCTCACCTCCCTTAGCTCATTCACTTAGCTCCTCTCCACCTGCCTTCAGGACACCTCGCTCCTGAGGAAGCCAGCCGGCCCGGAGAGTCCCCCAGGCTTGCTTTGTCATCACAGGAGCTGCTGCGGGGACGGGGGACGGGGACGTCTCCCGCCCTAGAAGGCAGAGGCCTGGGCCTAGCCACCTGACTGGGAAGGAACCAGAGGGAAGGCTGGGGAGAGGAAGGAGCTCCATCAGAGAGCTGAGGGGCTGAGTGAGCATGTCCTGGCTTCTCCACTGGGGGCCGGGGGTCTTCTCATCTCCACTGTGAAGGGATTGGACCCACTAGAGGGTTGCTGATCCCTCCCAGCTGGGTGATTTGTGATTCTCAGAGTGTTAGGCAGGCCCAAGGGTCTGGGACGGGGCGAGGACAGGCCTGGGGGTGGGCAGCTCCCTGTGGGGAGATGAACAGGGACCTTCTGCGCTGACATTTTAATTGTAAAAACTTGGCTGTGTTGGTGGGATGGGCAGCCAGAGCCACACAACCTTCTTCTATTAGAGGCCTTTTCTTCTCATGCTTCTTGGTTGAAATTTGCCTGATTTAAGTCTAGCCCAGCCAGAAAGCAGACACAGAGGAATTGAGCTCCAGGAGTCCCTTCCAGAAGAATCCACTTAGAGCTCCCTCTCCTCTAGCTCCTCCTCTGGGGCTCTCCGAGTTCTCTTGCTCTTTGTACCAATTCTCTCCAGGTAAGAACATGCCTATGGTGAAAGTCCCTCTCGTGTCCTTCCCCAGCCACTAGAGCATCGATGGAGGAAACGGGGACTGTTCCCAGCCTTAAGCAGTTTCTTCCTTTCCCTTCCTAGATTTTGGGGAGTCAGAGTTATCCCAGCAAACCTCAGAACTGGAAAAGGTTTCGGAAGAGCCATTCCAAGATCCTCCAACACATGAAACACTTAAAGCCAAGCCTTCAAGAACACTTAATTCAATGCCCAAGACCCTTTTCACTTCTAGAAGATGAATTTTAGCGTGACGTTTCACAGAGAGGTCCGACTCTTATTGAGAGAGGCCACAGCCAGATCCCTCCCCAGTCTGGCTTCCGGAGCAGATGAGAACACAAGGCAGAGGTGGAGGCCACGATGCCCTCTAAACCTTGAGCAGCTCAAGGGGAGGATCCCACTCTTCTCCGCCCAACCAAGAGGCTGCCCTGCGTCCAGGCCCCTGGCCTGGTGGACCTGGCCCTCCTCACTGACAGGATCAAGGTCAAAGGAAAAAAAGGCAAGGACTTCTCCCCAGGGGCTGCCTGCTGGAGAGACCTCCCAGGGCTCTGAAAGGCCGCCTCGGAGGACGGGTACCATGTGCCACAAGCTTAGGTGACTGCTGGGACCCGGCACCAAAGCCCAAGCTGCAGGGCTCAAGTCAGCAGACGTGCAGCCCCCATGGACACAGGCCCCTTCCTGCAGGCAGGGAAACTTCCAGAGGGCGTCCTGCCCCCACACCTGGAACAGGGCCAGTGACCCAGAGGAGCTCAGCCCCCTGAGCCCTTCCAGAGGCCAGAGACAGATTCCCCCGGGGAAGAAGTGTCAGGGTAGTAACGCGGAGCCCCCACCCGCATGGAAGGCTCTGGGCAGGTACGCGCTGTCCCGGAGACAGCTGAGGAGGGGAAGGGCCGACCTGCCCGCCTGGAGGCCCAGTGTGACACACGTCCTCTAGCAAATCCTGCATGCTGCTCTCGACCCTCTGCCACCGTGACCCCAGGCCCTAGCTTGTATGTCCAAGGTGTAAGTCCTTCCACGCCAGGACACTGCTCAGCAGCCCCAGCGAGTGACCAGGATAGGGTGGGGGAAGGGACAGCAGCTCCAGATCCTCCCGGAGGGGCCCGGCTGGATAGAGAACAAAGCTGCCCAGACCCGTCCCCGTAGCCGTCATCCTGCCCGGAGAGCGGAAGCATGAGCACGACCCCCTGCCCCCACCCGACCCCTCCCTGCAGCCCTTTCTCTCTCTAGAAGCTTTTCTTCTTCTGGCACCGTGGGTACCATGGCTGGTCTGCGTCCGCCCCCTGCAGCGTTCACCCAGATCCAGAGTCTCCGGGGGTGCGAGGGAGTGGGAACACGTCCCCTGGGGACCATCCGTCCTCCTAGATGCCAGCACTGCTGGATGACAGCAGGATGGTGCTCCAGCTCCTGTCCTCCTCTGCCCACTCCTTCCGGTGTGTCCAGCACAGGGGACAGCCAGGATGAGGACTCCTTGCCAAACAGGGTGAGGGCGAGGCGGCGCCTTGGGTCCAGGAGGTCGGATTCCGTGGGCTTTTGGGAACAGGAGACGAGAGGGCAGTGGGCCGACTGCAGGGCAGCCTGTTCCTCAGACACAGCCATGGGCCTGGTGACCAGGGACTGCACGGAACAGGGGAGGACGGACGCGACCGCACTGTCGCTGCTGGGTCCGGACGGGGTCTAGACGACTCAACGGTCAAACCGGGCAGGGTGCAGGAGCGGAGTGGGGAGAGGGGGTCTTCAGCTTATAATGGATGCGAAGCTGCAAAACTCGGCCACCTGGCTTCCTCCAGTGCCTCTGGCCAGGCGCAGGGGTCCCGGCCTCAGCGCCAGGGCGGGGCAGGTCTGCTGCCGCCCCCTCCCTGCAGTGCGTGGGGCCTCAGACTCGGCGCGGCTGAAAGTGCTGAGGGTCAGGCCCCCGGCCCAGGCCAGGGTCCCGAGAGGAGAGTCGAGTGGGAGGCTGGGGGCCTGGAGAGCGCGGGGCGGGCGCGGGGAGGGCCGGCGGTGCCGTCATGTGGCCCAGGAGATGGCCGCACTGTGCTCCTTGGCCTTCATGCGCAGGGCCGCGATGCTCGAGGTCTTGCGGTCCGGCTCGCCGTTGAGCTCGTAGCCGTTGAGGCCCGGGCTGAGGCCGGCGGCTCCGAACAGGCTGCCCATGTGCGTCTGGCTCACGTGACTGCCAGCCCCAGAGACGCTCAGGAAGTCGGTGACGCCGCTGGCCCCGGAGCCAGGGGGGTGGGCGTGAGGGGACATGCAGGCAGGCACCGGCTCACAGGGGACCACGCAGGCTGGCACTGGCGAGGCAGCCCCATTGTTGCTGATCCAGGACGGGTTCTGAATCTGGGGAGAGGGAAGGAGGAGATGTCACAGGCTGGCGGGGACAGGGGCGGCACATAAGGGGCTTCCCCTGGCCCCTGGATGACCTCTCCCCACTTAGGAGCCCTCATTATGATGAAACCATTCTTGAGTGTTATTCCGGAGCCTCTCAGGGCCTTTGAGGCCCTCCAGATACCCCCAGGAGGGTCTGGGCTCTACGCTCTGGCCCCTCTGTTCCCAGGGCCAGGCAGCAGCAGACAGAAATTCCATTTTAAGGACTGAACTTCAAACTTCATCAAGGATCCAGTAAAAGGGCCGCCCTGGGGGCACACTAACCAGCTGAGGACAGCCCCCACCTCAGCCGGCCGAGTTCCTCATTTAGACTCATGGCAGACTTCATCTCTTCACCTGTGGACTCCTTAAGGTCGGAGACTGTGTCTTACTCCCCTCTGGCTCCTCCCCAGCCTGGAGCATCCTAGGTCCCTGATAAATGGGAGCTGACCCCAACTCGGAGAGCTCTGGCATTGGGAATATGGGCTCGGGGCTTGCAGGTTGTGGCACGGAGGGGCTGGGGGTGGGCAGTGGGGGCCTGAATCTCCCAGGAGCCAAGGTCAGGGGCTGAGCTTCCAGGGGCTGATGCCCTTGAGGCTTCAGAACTGACTCAGGACGGGAGGGGCTGCCTCAGGGGGCGGCGAGCGCCCGTGAGTGGATGGAAGCCAGCTGGACGCTCACATGCCTCGGGGCTGTGGAGGATGCTCAGGCGGCCGGTGGGGGTTGAACTGGACACCTCATCTTGCATCTGTGAAGCTGTAAGCTCTTTCCCCTCCCAGCCTCCACCTCTGGACCCCCTTTTCCTCTAAGCATTTATGAGGAGGTACAGCCGAGGACTCAGCCAAAAATACATCTCTCCAAGTGTCCTGCGTGGAGGGGCAGGCGGAGGGGATGAGGTTTGAGGAGGAGCTTCTGCACCTGTCTGCTGTGCGTGTGGGATTCTTGGGGGCCCTCCAGGAGCCGTACGCTCAGGGAAGGCGTTTGAAAGCAGAGTGAGGAACGAACTCCGCCCCAGATCCCAGGGGCATTGTCATGGCAACAAGAACTGCTCGCAGACCGGCCTTGCCACACCCCTCCTGTGGGTTGGTTCCGTGATGGGGAATTGGTTGGCCTTCCCCCACCCCCTCTTTCAAGGGGTCTGGGGCACATGCTGTGTGGGGCTGCGGGTGAGAGCGGGAGCTCGCCCTGTGCTGTGTCTCTCTGTCCAGCGCGTGAGCCCCGGCAGCAGAGATCAAGCCCAAGGAGCCAGGGCTGGAGGTCCATCCTCCGGGGGAATGAGGGAGGCTGGGTTTGGGCAGGGAGAGAGGGGAGAAAGGGGTGAAACAATGCAGCTGGCGATGATGCAGATGGTGTGTGTGCATGAGACACCCCACAGTCCTCAGCTGCAGCCCCAGGCCTGACTCCTGAACCCTTCTGCATGAATCCTAGGAGGGAGAGGGGCAGAGCTGGTCCAGGCGGGGCACCCAGGGATGCTATGCTAGCACGGCCCTGGGAAAACGAGAAGTAAAGGAGACTTAGGAAGAGTCTGAGAAGGATGGGGGTGAGGGGAGAGTGAGAGGGGTAAAGGGGCACGTGTATGGTGATGGATGGAAACTAGACTTTTTGGTGATAAACACAATGCAGTCTGTACAGAAGCCAAAATACGATGATGTACACCTGAAATTTACACAATGTTATAAACCAATATGCCCTTAATAAAGTAATAAAAAATAATAAAATAATTTAAGGGCCGGCCCCAGTGACCTAGTGGTTAAGTTTGGCATGCTCCGCTTCAGCGGCCCGGGTTCAGATCCCAGGTGTGGACCTATACCACTCGTCTGTTAGCAGCCATGCTGTGGCGGTGGCGCACATAGAAAAGGAAAAAAGAGGAAGACTGGCAATGGATGTCAGCTCAGGGCGAATCTTCCTCAGCAAAAAAAGAAAAAAAAAAGAGACTTAAGAAGGCCTGTGCCACTGGCTCACTGCTGGGCGGGGCCAGGCTTGGAGCTAAAGGTGGAGGCCGTGCCCGAATGAAGCCCAAGAGGGAGGAAATGGCCACCTCTGCCAGACACGTTGAGAGGTGTCAGGAGTGGACTTGATCAATAATACATCTCTCCCAGCATCCTGGGTGCCTGACATCACTAACAGTATTTCTCATCCCTTTGCATCTCACTGAGAGCTCAACTGCCGCTAGAACGGGGGACTGGCTGACAGACGTCTAAGAAGACGCTCTGCGGGATGGAAGGAGAAGATGGGACACAGGATCCTGGGAGAGCTGAGAGCACACAAAGCAACCTTTCGACACTAGATAATTCACGTAGTACTTTTGCGTTGTCTAATTTAGACTTTACAACAACCTGACAAAAGGGAGGGGCAGGTGCTTTCATAGCGTCCGGTTTACAGGTGATGAAACTGAGGCTCAGAGAGCTGTGACTGGCCTGAGGGAGAAAGATCTGGAGCTGGGATGACGACCTAAGTCTCGGGACTCAGAAGCCGTGTCCCTGCCAGCCTCGCCGCATGGCCTCCAGATTCCAAGACTCCCTTCCCTGGGAAACACCCTGACGGTTCCTGACGGCACCAGCCTGCCTCGGTGCTGGTGCCCACAGGAGAAGCGCCCACAGCAGCAGAGGAAACAGCCTCCCTCATTGCCCCACCCCCACCCCCAAAGGACAGCCAAGCCTGGCTCAACACTTACGCTGGACAGCAACAGCTCTGGGCCTCACACATTCGGGTGTAAGCAGGCCCACACCTGGGTTGGGCCTGAAGGGCAACCTGGCGCCATGAGTCCCATCCGGGGGACCAGGCCGTCCTCCAGGGTGCCTAGTCTCAGAGGTCGAGGGCCGGGGTCAGGGCAGGGACTCACCTGGGCGTAGTTCTCAGCTCGGGTGAGCAGGGGCAGCTCATAGGCGGTGGAGAAGTGGGTTCGAACCTGCTGCATCTGCCCAAAACGCTCCCTCTTCCTCCACTTGGCTCTCCGGTTCTGGAACCAGACCTGCAGGACAGAGCAGCGGTCACGGCTCGGCCCAGCTGGAGGCCTCGCCTTCCGCGGTGCAAGCCGGTCCCTCGGCGCCCCAGCAGGCCGCGGGGCTGCAGATAAGCGACTGCTTCCTCCTTGTCCTCAAGAGCCTACGATCCAGAATGATCCAGGCTGAGAGTCGGGAAGGCGGCTCACCCCAACCAGCCGTGGGTGTGACCTTGGGCCCGTAGCTTCCTTTCTCTAAGCTTCAGAATCCAGAGCAAGTGTCGCACACACGTGAGCCACGTCACTGGTCATCTTAGCCACCATCTAACCAAGCCCAACGCTGCGTGGCCTAATCTGCTGTGGGCCAGGCTCCTGCGGAAACCTGATAAAAGCTGTGACTGCTCCTCCAGAAAATCGTTCTACTAGACGATCACACACACAGGTTTACCACATTTTTTCAAAGGTTTCAAAGGGGCCTGTCTGTTGGCCCAGAGTCAGAATTCCTACCTTCCTGAATCCTCTCTGCAGCCCTCTTGTTGGACACAGTCTCCCAGCTCAGAACCCCCTGTGTTCAAGGCCCCGTGGGGTACAGGGGTTCAGCTGGGCAACAAAGGCAGTCAGAGAGGGCTTCGTGGAGGGGACGACGGAGCTGGCCTGAGTGTCGGCTGGAGGCAGGGAGTCCAGGCCTGAGTTTACAAACAGCAGGGCGTGTTCAGGAGACCCCAGGTGGCCACGCTGCCCAGGTGGGGGGAGTGATGGGAGAGAAAGAATTGTAGAAGCAGGAGTCAGACTGCGGAGGGCCTCGACGGCCAGGGGGAGGGGTCTGCCCTTGGTGCTGTCAATGGAGGCGGCCACTGTAAAATCCCGTGCACAGGAGTGGCCTGACGCTGAGGACTGGAAGCCCGTCCGTCACTGAGCATGGGTCGGGGGGTGTTGACTTGACCGGGACCTGAGAGGGAGGGTGGTCTCTGAGTCAGGTGTGTGAGCCAGGGTCCTTGGTGGTGGTGGGGTTGGGTCCTTTTCCTTTGCATTTCTGGCGGGCTGAGAACTTCCCCAAGGCTCGTGGGCAAGAGCTCGCCTTGGGGCCTGCTCCCCCTGCCCGTGACTTGGGACCTGGGAAGGGGGATGGGGGCAGGAGAGCGGGGAAGAGGGAGTGAGGAGGGAAGAGCTTCCAGGCCAGGCATGGCTTCTGGCTGAGTCAAAGGCAGACCCTGGAGCCCCCCAGAGGGGGACGTCTCCATCAGCTTGGTGCGCACCTGCCAGCTGACTCAGGTGCAAGCGGCCACCCCCAAACAGCACACCGCCTGTGGCCTTGTGGACGGGGCGCACAGCGCAGGGACGAGAACCTTGGCTGCAGAGCTGCAAGGAGCCGTGTCCGGCTCTCCCCAGGCCTCAGCACCCAGGAAGCCTGCTTTCCTCGGGACAGTCTCTGCTCTCCAGGCGGAAACACTTCCCGTCCATCACGATCACTGTGGCTGCAGAGCTAGATACAAGGAGAGTCGAAACACTTCTCCACTAGACCACCGAGCACCCTTGGGGGAGGGAGACAGAGCTGGGCAGGAGGTGTGGACGGCTCCCCACAGGGTGACACAGAGGCTGCTCGGCCTGTTGGGGCTTCAAGTGTAACCAGGGACCAGAATGCCCATTGGAGCCAATAGCTTCCAGTAGCCTCAGTTTCTGCATCTGGAGAATGGGTCCAATATCTTTATTGACATCTTCACCGGGGTGGTGCCTCATAGAGCAGCAGGGAGGTAATGAGAAATGCTGTCACAGCGTTTTTAGAGAATTCACACTTGTTTCTTTATAGCTCCTGACCTGTCTTGCTGTCTTTTGCTGGAGGAAAGTGGTCAAAAGAGATGGGGTATGTGTGTCGCACTGTAGTGTGGGGAGGGTGGGGGTTAGGAGAGAGTAGGGCCTGCACCTCACTTCCCCCAGTCTCAAGTGTACATGTGTGTGTGCCTGGGTGTGTATACACACACATGCAGGCAGACATCTCTGTCACTCCATTTCCTTCTCTGGACTCTGGTGTAGGAGAAGCCCTCTTCCTGAGTCCTCCCTGGAGACCCGCCCTCTCCTGGGCCTGGGGTCTCAGCCCCTGCCCCAGAGCCGCCCGGGGCCCCTTTCCTCCAGGGCTCCTGGGGTCCAGGCCCAGGCCACCCGCGGGGAGCCGAGGGCGGATCGGGTCTCCTGTCCGCGCCGCTGAAACGGGATCCCCCTTTATCAGTGGCCTGGCCGGGGGACTGGGGCAGGATGAGAGGACGAATCAGACGGGCTTGTTTTCATTTCATGTTTAATTTCCTGCAGGCTTAGCTCAGCCTTTCCGCTCCTTCCTCAGCCTCCCAGGGTTTGCTGGGGGGGGGGGTGGGGGGGTGCGGGGGGAGGGGAGAAGCCCACTGGAGGCATCAAGATATACGGCTTCTCTCTTTCCTGGGGGTGGGGAGAAGGCGAGAAGAGGTTTCCGTGGCCGCCGCTGCGGGGTTTCCCTGAGTCTCTGGGGGCTCCGGGTCCCCGGGTGGGGAGTGGAGGTGGAGAGATGCGCGTGGAGGTGTCGCACAGGCTCCGGGTGGGGGGGAGGGACGCAGAGCGAGGAGGGAGGCGGCCAGCGTCCCGCAAGGGGCCTAGAATGGAGGGGGGCGCAGGGTGGGGGGATGGAATGTGGGGGGGCTGGAGCTGACGGTGGGGGGGGGAGGCCGGGAGAGGGGAGCCCTGGGTTATCTAGGAAGATAGATGAGCTGGCGGGGGAGAGGCAGCAGAGAGAGCACTGGCTCTGGGATGGGAGTGGAAGAGGGTCAGGCTGGAGGATTTATTTGAGAGCTAAAGACGGAGATGGGAGGAGGCGGCAGCGGCTGTGGGGAACAGGCTGACGGGGAGGGGGGGGGGGACACACACACGACTACCCGCCTCCTCCTCCCCCTCCTCCCCCCTCCCTAGTCTGACCCCGTGCCCGAGGGTGGAGCGTTCCTGCCCAGATGGAGGCTGAAGCTAAGTTAGCATAAATTGGGTGGTGGCAGAGGTGGCCTCACGGGCCTCTTCTGCGCTCACAGTCCAGGGCCCCGAGGTGGGTGCTTCTGTCCCTTTCTGACCCCTGGAGCCTGGGGCTCTGAGAGCTCCCCACAGATGCTCTGTGCCCCAGGCCTGTCTCCAGTGCACAAGCCCAGGGAAGAGAGCAGACCACCAGGTCCTCGCCTTCCATTCTGCATGTTGTGCCCCAGGACCACCCCGCTCCTGGGCCCACCCCGGCCTGGGCCCACTCAGCACAGGCCTCTCCCCAAGGAACCAACCGTCTTGGCAGAGGCCTCGCTAACCTAACCGCAGCCCATCTGGGGCCAGGGCGGGGTGGCCCAGGGCGGGGAGGCCTCTGTCTTATTGTCTTCAGACACCAGCTGCAGAGACTGGAATCCCAGACAGCAGAGAGAGGCCCCTGCAGCCCCCTGGAGCAGGGCCAAACCCCGGCTTCTTCCCAGTAAAGGTCCATCTCAGGGGACCCCACCACCTCCTCCCTGTGCCCATCACCACTCTAACCAGGCACCTGGCTTCCCACCAGCCAAGTAAGGGCCCTGAACAAACTCAGCAGAGGCAGGCCGGGGGTTCCATCACCACTTCCTCCACCTCCCAGAGTCCTGCCAGGCTCACGGCTCAGCCCAGCAGTCTGATGCACATGAAGATCCCACCCACTCTGCTGCCTTGCTACAAAGAAAAGTCTCAGAACAATCTGGCATGTGTCCTGGCACAGCAAACTAAAGTAAAAGAAACACTGGGCTGGAACTCAGGAGTCCCAGGTTCTAGTCTCAGCACTGCCACTGAGTCACTGTTCCTGAGTTGCCTGATCACAAGCAATCACTTCCCACCTCTCAACCTCCTCTTCCTCATTATCAAATAAGACCAAGTGATCCTTTCTAGCACTAACATTCTGTAATTCTATGATCCTCCCCTTAGATGATAAGAGATGCAACACATCAGGGTTTCTCTTTTTGCCTTGGCTGCTAGGAAGCTCAGGGTTAAAATTGGTGCTCAGTGGCAACTATGATCCTAAGCCTAGATTCTTGACATAATTACCTTCCCATTTCATGACATTTTTCTTGTTCTTAGATGAAAGTAATAAATCCTTAATTGTAAGCTGCCTCAATTCCTTTTTGGAAGTAGGCATAAATGTGTGTGTGTGTGTGCAGACAGAACACTCTATTTTAGCCGTATGGTGGTGACTGAAAAATACTAGATGTGCCCCAGTGTCATTTCCATGTTTTGAACTGGAAGGGCCATCCTTATTTCGAAACTAAGTGAATTCTACTCCTGGGTACTCCCATCCATTTGTTAGAAAGCGTGCATGCAACACACATATGCACAAACATACGTACACCTTCAGAAGATGAATGGGTTCACCCCACGCCAACACAGCACCTACAGGAATGTCCCATAACCAGCCTCCCTCTTGGACAGGCTCCTCCAAACCCACTGGCTGGAGCTCAGGCCGGATTCTGGGGTTCCCGTCCAGACTTTGAGCCACCTGAGGTTGCGTGGCTGGTTATCCTGACTCAGATGAGATAGTGGGTTTGAGGGGGCTTCCAGAATCCCAGTCGAGCCTCAGCTGCCCTGCCTTCTTCCACAAACACTCACCAGGCACTGCAGAGGAAGAAAATGGGCCGCCTGCCCTCGGGAACTTGGGATTAAACATCGTTTCTGTTCAGAATCACTGCGGGGACTTGCAGTTTTCGGGTGGCTACCTATTTACTGATAACCGCCAGTCCTTTTTCACATGAGCGTGTTAGATGAAGAAGTTCCTGGACTCTGTTACAAATGCCTCTGCCTTATTAAACAGACGTGGTGGGGACTGATGAGCTGTTATTGACGCGTTAGAGGCACTCTGCTGAAGACTCTTCAGTGAGCTAATGCAATGGTGAGGGCCCTTGGGCCTGCTGAGTGACACAGGGCTCTGTCCTGGCACTGGGAGGCCCAGGCTGCTGAGTGACACAGGGCTCTGTCCTGGCACTGGGAGGCCCAGGCTGCTGTACTGCTTTAAAATAAAATTCTCCTTTGCTCTCCAGTTGTCGCCGCCACTACCCACGGCAGGGGGAAACGCTATATGACACCACCATATTCGCTCTATCTAACACGCTTCGGGCTGGGAAAGCAGACTGGGCGTGACATTTACTTTGTGTTAAACTGAGGCCTGAGCTTTAGTGCGTGGATTTTGTCACCTGTATTTTGGTTACTCAAAGGTCTGGGCTTCCTTTCTGGTTCTTTCTTTGCTGTAATTTCATGCAGGGAGCGGGGACACACCTCTCCGGACAAAGGAGTCAGTCGGTTCACAGATATTTATGTTTTGCCCTGTTGCTCTGAGCTCGGCCTTCTCTCATTGGTGGGAATACAGTGATGAACCTGTCAGACAGTACCTGCCCTCAAGGGACTGACATTCTAGTGGGAGGAGACAAACAAGATAATTTAAGCCAGTCGTAAATTCTATAAAGAAGATAAAATAGCACAATGTGGTAGAAGGTGACCTGGTTTGGTTGTATTGTGTTGTATCGAGTTGTGTTGGGTTGTATTGAGTTGTGTTGAGCTGTGTTGGGTCCTGTTGTTTTGTGTTGTGTTGTATTGGTTTGGGTTGTGTTGCATTGTATTGGGTTGTGTTGAGCTGTATTGAGTTCTGTTGGGTTGTGTTGAGCTGTGTTGGGTTCTGTTGTGTTGGTTTGGGTTGTGTTGAGTTGTGTTGCATTGTATTGGGTTGTGTTGAGCTGTGTTGGGTTCTGTTGGGTTGTGTTGAGCTGTGTTGGTTTGGGTTGTGTTGAGTTGTGTTGAGCTGTATTGGGTTGTGTTGAGCGGTGTTGGGTTCTGTTGGGTTGTGTTGAGTTGTGTTGCGTTCTGTTGGGTTAGGTTGAACTGTGTTGGTTTGAGTTATGTTGGGTTCTGTTGAACTGTGTTGGGTTGGGTGTTTTGGTGGTCGAGTGGTGGCAGGGGGCTACTGCTTTAGCCACAGTGGTCGGGAAGGCTTCTCAGAGAAGGTATATTGAGTTGGGACCTGAATGATGGAGGAGGAGGCAGCCATCCTGGGTAGAAAGAGCTGAGTGTTCTCTGTTTCTGCCCACTGGGCTGGTGTGAATGTCTTTATGTTTATCCTGTTTCCCTTCTAAGAGACAGGCCTTCCACTGCACAGACCAGTCATGTCCTCCTTCGTGAAAGGGCCTGGACTCTCACAGCGTGTGGAGCCCAGAAATGCAGCTAACAGGCTTCCTGCCCCTCCACCGGGGGCCCCCCTTCCTTCACCTCCTCCCACGGCACAGAAGCCCGATAGTAGAGTGGGTAAAGGCAGACTCGCTCTGGTTGGAGTAGGAGCACGAGGGGCAGGCTGGGGGCCTCTCAGGCGCTGCTGGGACTGAGATGACGAAAGCCCTGCTGTGGTCGAGGGACAGATGAGGGTCCCAGCTCCAGCCACGAGCCCAAGGGCAGGCCCTGCCCGCCCCCCCTGCGCCCACACTGACCTGCACGCGGGCCTCGGTGAGGTCCGTCCTCATGGCCAGCTGCTCCCGCGCGTACACGTCGGGGTAGTGGGTCTTCTGGAAGACCTTCTCCAGCTCCTCCAGCTGGTAGCTGGTGAAGGTGGTGCGGTTGCGCCGCTTCTTGCCCTTGTTGCTCTCCGCGTCAGCCTTCTCCAGCGGGCTGGGGAGCTCAGCGCCGGCCCGGTCCGGGGGCCCCTTCACCCCAGCCTCCTTCACACCGAGGTAGCTGCCGTCCATCCCCACGGTGTCAGAGTCAGGCGGCAACTCTGGCTCACCCAGGGAGCTCTCTTTGGCTGAGCAGGGAGGAAACAAGATCAGAAACCAATGGCTGAACGAAGCAAGAGAGGAGGGAGGCCCGGGGAGCCATCCCCGGCCTTTCCCTTTCAGAGCCACAGTGGATGCGAGGTCAGGAGACCCAGGGCTAATCCTGGCTTGCTGTCAACATGCTGTGTGATCTTGGGCAAGTCCCTTCCCTGTCTGAGCCTCCTTGCCATCATCTCAGAATGGGCCCCTTTCGGCACCCATGTTACGTGACTCTGAGTCAGCCAGTCTGACCTCTAGGACCTTGAATCCCCACCCCCGGACCCTGGGCTCCTCCCTCTAGAAGGACCCCCTTGGCCAGAACTTCTCTGGGCATCAATGCTGACCCAGTGCCTTGGACTCCCGGGGTGGAGGGGAAAACTGATTCAGCAGCCACGTCTGGCCCAGCTGGGCTGGGGTGAGGAGGAGAGGGCAGCAGAGAGGCAGACAGGAACGCCTCTCCTATTCCGGCCTGAGCCCGGCGGGGTTCAGCGGGAGTCAGCAGATGTGGCCCGCAGCCACAGGATGGGGCTCCCCTGGCCGATTCCTAGATGCTCAGAGCTGGGAAGGACCAGTCACCCCACGCAGATCGAGGATGAGGCGGCAGAGGATAGGATGCGAGGGTGGGGCCAGGGGGTGGCTTGTCCACGTTCAGATAGCCCCGTTAACACCCTGGACAGACACACTCGTCTCAGAGGTTAGCACAGGCTCTGAAGCCAGCACCAGATGTGAATCCCACAGATGTGATGCTCCACCTGCGTGCTTGGACAGTCCACTTAACCTCTTTGTGCCTCAGTTTCCCCCTCTATAAAGCGGAGATGAAGAGACCCGTATGACCTTCCTCATAAGGTGGCTGTGGGATTAAAGAGGCCGACACGTAAAGGACTCAGCACGGCGCCGGCTGTGTGGGTTTCTGCCGGCATCATTTTCCCCAGTTCTGGTCTGGACTGGCGAGCATCAGAGGACCCTGACCCTGAAGGAGTCCTCCAAGCAGGCCGACTCTCCCTGGAGCACCCGAGCGCAGGCGCATGCACGGGTGCTGTGGGGAGGGCGCTGCGCTGGTGTCTGGAGAAGAGTGTGAACCCCTCTCTGAGCCACATTCCCTTGTCTGACTCTTGTAGAGGGAGATAACATACAAGAGGAATAAGACACATGTGGGAGCATCTGACAAGCCCTTTCACACACACAAGCTCTGATCGTCACAAGCATGTGTGGTCGGTGTGAGCACCAACCACTCTGACTCTCAGTTTCCTCTTCTGGGAATAGGTCCGAGTGGCGGGCATTAAGTGTCAAGACAATGCCTCTAGCCCCGGTCTCCTGACTCCATCCAGGTCCTGGGGACCGGGTTCAGGTTCGTTCTCATCTCTGGCTGTCTGTGTACACTGGGGACGGAGAGGGACATTTTGTCTCTGTCATTCTCCAAGGCAACGAGGAAGGGAAGTGGAGGTGAGTGCCCAGAGTGGGCCTGGAAGCAGCTTCGGGAGGCCATTCCTGAAGGCCACTGACAGTGCTGATGCCGCGGGGGTGGTGGGCTGGCCCGCAGGTGTCACGCATGACAGCCATGTGAGCCCAAGCACAGCAGACCACCACAGCTTCAGTGACAGCATTGTGCAAACTGCAGCTGGCAGCCGGGCCGAGAGCTTTCAGCAAAGATATTTATCTTCCTGGCAGACAAATAAGTTTTATGTTTTGGATTTTTTTAAAGAGAAGAAATCCCACCCAGCCTCATCAAAAATAAACATCTCTGTTATGCAACTTCCTGGAGGCCAGATCGCGGGTGGTGGGGGGGGGGGCAGCCCCTGTGCCTCCTGCCCTAACGCTGCTCCCCGGGCCCCATCCCATGACCCCGGGGACCTTTACAGCATCCTCTGGCATCCAGCCTGGGATTGGGACCACCCCGCACAGCAGTAGGGGCTGGGCTATGTAAGGGGAGCTCCATGTGATAGAAACCGAGGGCTGGTGGGACCAGCCCAAACTCCTAGTTTTAACTGGGGGGAAACTGAGGCCAGGGAGAGCAGGGAATGTGCGCTAATTGGCGACAGAGCGCGCCTCTCCGCTCCTGGGTTGCTCTTTACTCCTACCCTGGGGTCTTGGGCCCTTTTCCCAGGGAAAGAGAGGGGAGCAGAGGAATCCAGCGGCCTCACATAACTCAGGAGTCCTGCTCTGCTCACCCTGGCGGCAGCAGGACCAGCCCCTGAGGATGAGGGAGCGAGGATGCGGCCCCTGAGGGAAGGCCCTCAGTGTGGGGCTGGTTCTAGGCTTCGCCCGTGGGGAGGCGGCAGAATGCCCAGTGAGAAGTAAGAATCCAGTTCTCCCCATCTGCAGCCACCCTCTGAGACCGAGGGAGTGGGGGAGAAATGGGGAGACAGCACCGTGTGTGCAAAGACCACCAGACAGAGAGGTGGGAGATCTGCTCTCCCACAGTCTCCCCCATGGCTTCAGAGGACTGGCTTCACATCACAGAGTCTCTCCTGCACACGGGAGCGGGCAAGCCCTGTCTGGGGCAAGGAGAGCAGGCAGCGCTGGTGTCCCTGTCTCGCCAGTGGAACATCGCTCCTGCCTTAGTCACCAGGGGGACCTTCCCTTAGGATCTGGAGTGGGGAGAAGGATGGGAGCACATCTGCATCCAGGCAGACGTCAACTAGCTGGCAAGGCTTAGAGATGGAAGGAATTCTGGCAAACTGATGCTTCTGGCTCCTTGAAGATGGGAGAAAGCCTTCTAATCTGTCTTGATTATTGCTCATCTTGCTTTAAATCCTGAGGCTGGATCCCTAAGTTACATAACAAAGGAAAATTCCCCAAGGTTCTGCAGCCCACCCAACTGGTCAGAATGACATGCCAAGGCCCTCTCAGGTGCTCGGTCAAAGACCCCAGACGTGGGGGCATCTATTTCAACCTCCTTCCACCCCTGGCATCTCTGCCAGGAGCTGTTCTCCAAGCTCTGGGGCCAGAGGGCTCGCTGCCCCAGGAGAGCTGGACCGTTCATCCTTGGGTCCAGCCCACGTCCATCTTCTGCAGGTCTGGCTCATTGGTCCCGGTCCTAACCCTCCAGGGTCCTTCCCCAAGACAGCCCTGTGGAATTAGCGACAGCTGCCACCCCTCTCTGAGTTTTCCATCCTCCTGACTAAACGGCTACAGTTCCCACCACTTTCCTCAGGTGCCCCGAGTTTACTGAGCCTGTATGAGACAGATGGGTGCCAGGGTGGGATGGGTGGTGGTGCTGGGCCCTGGGCAAAGCCAGCAGATTGCTCTCCAACCACCCCGAGGGGCTGGGTGGAGAGGCAGCATGGAGGCCCGAGGCCTGGGCGCCAGCCAGGATCCAGCTTGCTCTGCGGCGCTCTCCTCAACGTGACAGCCGCTGAAAACAGAGGTCCCGCCACTCAGGCTGAGGTACTCTCGACCCAAGGAAACCACTGACCTCCTGGGTCCCCCTCGCCCCCACCTCCAGCCACCTGCCTGGAGCGTCCCTTCTTTCCAGCTGACCTCCAAGATCCAGTCAAGCACCAGCTCCTCCAGGAAGCACTCCCAGACTGCAACAAACATACAGCCCTCTGTCCTCGGCTCAGCCACTCCAATTACTGCCCGTGTGTCTGACTAGGATATAATCAAGCCTGAATGTCCATCTCCTTGTATAGAATGGCAGTTCCCTGAGGGCTGGGACCTCATGTCCTTTGTCCCTTTTCAGCCCAGCACTTAGCCCGGGACAGGGCAGGTGGCAGACACGCAGTAAGGATTTGCTGAAGAATAAACGAACAATTTCTAACAGACATAACTGAGCTCTCATTCTGTCCAGCTACCTTTGTGCACCTACTGCGTGCCGGCGCCCTATAGCATACCTGCAGAAAATGTTTGTTGAATGAATGAATGAGCAAATTCATCCCGCTGGACAATGAGGAGAAGGGTGGATAGGATATATGAAAAAGGGGCACACCGTAACTAATGACCCCACTGAAGGCTGACAGCTGGAGCAGGAGGAGGAGATGAGACCCTCAAGAGAGACGGCAGACGACCAAGACAGACACTAAGGGGTGTCTCCGTGCAGGAGAAGAGAAGAAACAGGGAGGGTCCGAGAGGCAGAAATAGAAGCAAAGAGATGGGATTCACCGAGGGGGCTCTGGAATTGAAAGTCCAGGAAACCCCGTCGAGGATCCTCCGGGACCCAGCTCCGCACCCACCATGCTGCCACAGGAGGACAGAGAAAAGCCCACTGGAGGCTCCCAGCTCGGCCGGCTGCCGGGCCAATGGCACAGCACCGGCATGAGGCTGAGCAACAGCACTGCCCAGCCTGGCTCCGGGCCACCTGCCCGTGGGTCTGGCTCCTCCCTCGCCCTCCCTGGGGCAGCTCCCACAGGGACTCGGACTGATGCTGTGCTGACGCCCCTCCCACAGCGGGGAAGGGGGCCCTGCGAGGGCTTTGTCCCAGGCTGTGGGGCCCAAGACAGGGTAATCCCCATCTGGGGCTTCCCAGTGGAATGTCTTGATCTGGAAACAAACCCCAGACTACCCGGAGGAATCGAGTAACGCGCACGCATAAAACACCAAGAGCAACCAATGCCCGCCCCACGGAAGGCGCGCACAACGGTGGCCACGATGGTGTCGCGTGCCCTTCAGACGATGCTAGGTACATATGCCCACCGACCACTGCTGATGGAGTGGAAGCATTCGGTCAAGGTTATATTCTTAATGAGGAGCCACCAAAGGCCCTTCGACCTGTGCCTGAACTCCCCAGGGTGGAGGCCTGCACCTCTTCTAGGAGCCGCCTGGTCGGCTGCCGGACAGCCCCGGCTCTTGAATTTTGAGAAATGCAAGAAATAGAAAACTTTTCTCCATTCCCTTCCCCTCACCCATTTGTCCTGGTTCAACCCAGTGTGTCACCCTAATGGAGCCTAACCTTGTTTGGACATGAAAGCCCTTGAGAAATGTCCACAGGTGAATATGATTTTTTTTATGACTATAATTTAAAGAGAATTCTTTTATGACTCTGATTTCAAGAGAAG